TTGTCAAGCCCGTATAGATCTATACACAAACACCATGCTCCCCCTCCAAGGGATTCTAGTATATAATACAGGACTTGAAATGTGTACTCGCACGTACATGAAGTTAGTGTCTCACAAATCCGTGGTATAAAAACAGATCTACTTGTTAAAATGTAACGTTTGTTCTTGTATACAAAAGTAAACTTCTTGAAAATATATGTTTCTAGTACCTAAGAGTTAGAAATCTGTTCGTAAAACTATACCTATTATAGTTTTAAAAAGTGTGCTTTGTTTGTTTAGAAATACTTAGGAAAAGAATAATTTGTTTATGAAAACATATATTTTTGGTGTAGAGTCTAAGATAGAACAGAATAATTTAAGAATAGTTTAGTTTTATACATGTATTACAACAACTTTATATTTTAAAAGATCGAATGCTATTGTAACATATGTTATATATTTATATATAAAAGTCCCTTTAAAAGTTTATAAATCGAATGTGATTTGAATATTTAACATTATATAAAAGAGTTTCTTTATGTAACACACGATAATATTCGTGTGTTTTACTTGTAATCCCCCCCTTTGAAAGCATATAAAAGTATTTAGAATAATTAAAACGGTTGATTAAGGGGTATGAAACTCACTTGAAAGTTTTGGAGATAGCGAGATGGAAAACCGGGCAGAGTTTCGTCTTGGGAAACGGATTTTCCTCGGGATTCTCGGGAATCTCGGGAGTAAAATCGACCTTCGGGACTTGAGCCAAGAAGACCAGAGCTTCGGGTTTGAACGGACACGGAAAACGAGGCAAGGTTGTGAGAGAGAGGAGAGAAATGAGCCCTTTCTTTGGAAACCCTCGTAGCCTATTTTATAGTGAGGCTGGTCTGCCTCAGTACGCGGGGCGTACGCTCGTACGCAGCGCGTACGCGTACGTCATGCATGACCGAAGCCTCGACTGCCTCGGCCTCAGATGGGACGGGTCCCTGGGTACGCGGGTCGGATGGGACAGCGGGTCGGGTTCTCCGGATCGTGCGACGTGGACGGTTTGAGGCCGAGCTCCTCGGGTACGCGGGGCGTACAGGAGTACGCAGCGCGTAACTCGGATGCTGACTCCCCTTCGGATAATATCCGAATTTTGAATAAAATAAATAACTAATTTATTTAATAAACTTTAAAAATTCATATCTTCTTCATACGAACTCCGTTTTTGATGGTCTTTATATCCTCGCGTAGGTGAGACTACGCTCTTCAACTTTCGTTTAGACTCCGTCGGCAAATTCCGAAATTATTTTTTTATTAAATATTAAAAATCTATCGTGTTTAAGGAATTTCTTTGAAAATTCGTAACTTCTTTATCTGATGTCGGTTTTGCCAGACTTTTTACCGCTGGAATACCATTGTCGAGACCTTCGATTCTCGTTTAGGTCATTCCGGCCAAAAGTCGCTCGATTTCTGATTCGAGTTTTTAGCTGTCTGTTGCTAAGTCGAACTTGGAAAAATCATAACTTCGCTAAATGAAGTCGGATTTGGGCGTTCTTTTCACGTACGATCATGGTTCAAAGACATTTAATCATAGAAGGAAATTAAATAGGACTTATTTGTACATTTTATTATGAAAGTAAATTTTATTACTCAGAAGCGGTTACAATACTTGACCCACTTTGGTCGTTACAAAGAGTTGAAGTATCAGGTTGTCACAGAAATCGTCCAAGGCCTTAAGGAAATGAATCTGTGGGTTGCTTAGGGCTTAAGCATCCAATTTAGGGTTTCCTTGTTAGATAACCCTAATAGCCTAACTATATATACATCCCTTATGACCTAAAAACGTGGCTAAGCATCCTTCTAGGGTTTCACAGCTTTTAGAGCAGCCTCCATCCTCTCTCCTCTTCATCCTCTTGCTCTTGGTGTTTGTGAACCATTAGAGGGGTGACATTTGTGACTCTAAGCTTTCTAAAGTCAATACAAGGTGAATTGGATTGTTATTGCTACATAACAATCAAGGTAATGTATTAAACCCATTCTTATGTTAATATGATTACTTGTATGCTAGAATTAGGGTTTATAGTCTTGGATAACTTGCATGTACAATAGAGAAACCTAGATCCAAGCATTAGGGTTTGTATGAGCACATAGGATGTTTTTATGACTAAAACCCATCAGTTCTATGATTTAAGTTCGAAAATGAGAAAAGAAAATCAGGGTGTCAAGACATTTATATGACCAAGATGTCCATCTCACGAATTGCAAACATGAGTGTCTACGACTTTTTCAAAAAGTCTTAACCCAGAATCCTATATTGGCCTCTCAGGCCCCTTACAACCCCAAGAAGCGTTTAACGACTTCTTGGGCCAACATCGCGACCGACTGGACCGAAGGGAATTGGAAGTAGACGTGGGAGAAAGTTTAAAGGGGGTCATGGATACAGCGTGGGACCATTTAGGATATGTCTTATTTTACTGACGATGATGTATATAGTGTTAGGTTGCAGAATGTAGTGTCATCTTTACTACATATTTTGTCTTTGCCACTTCATTTTTACCACCAAACCAAGGTTTCTTGTCGCACATTAGGTGTGGGTACCATGACAAACATATTATTTTCTAAAATTTTATTAAATAATTCAATTTAATAAAAAAAACATAAATTTCTTTACTTAAAAAATAAAAAATTGAACATAACATGACATTAAAAAAACTCCTAAACAACTTAGAAAAAAACATAATATGACATTAAAAAACTCCTAAAAAAACTAGAAAAATAAAAATAACTATAAATTTTAAAACATGCAAACATAAAAAAATACACAGCAAGCGATTAAAAAAACTAATTAACATAACGTTTTTTAAGGTCGGCTTTAATCGCCAACACAATTTCAAGCTCATTCATGGTCATGTGACTTGTGTGGAGCGTTTGTATTTTCATGTCACTATCACTTTGTTGCCTACGCTCTATTTCATATCAATTCTTTCGTTTAAACCCTTTATATTTTCTCGCATTACTTTCAAGTCATCTAAATCTATCGCTTTGTCTCTTATCTTTGGGTTTTACTTTCTCCATTCCCATTCGTCAGGAAGGTGGTGTAACTTAAACGGGTTCATCACTGGTGAGGTCGATTCTAATACGAGCATTTGATGTAGAGTATTCGCATTTGAATGTTCTTGAGTGTTTAGAACCACTATCGATATGCTCATTGGATGTTTTGCTCTTTTTCCATTTATGGTTGTCTTTCATGACATTCCAAAACTCAATAAACTTAAAATCCTTCTTATTTTCTTGTTGGTACACTGTTAGAGTTTTCTTCAAATTACATCATCATTTTCTCCACTTTGTCATTGATGTTTCATGTTGTTATACAAATCATTAAACAACATGGCTTCCTTGTTTGTCTTCCACCATTTGGAATATACTTGGTCTTTTGTATGATATTCTCCTTGCTTCATTCCTTTGTGAAACCTTTTTGTAACTCGCCTAAAAAAAATGATTATGTTTTTGGTCATTTCCAACCTTCACATTTTCAGAAACATCGATCCATGCATGTGCCAATGCTAGCATTCACATGGTTCCCATGTTTTGGCATTCACTTTCTATTTTCTTTTATTATGTGCTTTGGTGGATCTGGTTTCTTAAACGAATTCGGGTTTGGAATCAAATTGCTCTTGACTTTCTTGAATGAATTCAGGTTGAGGTAAAAAATCAAATGGATTAAATTTGGTGTCGGTTAGGATTTGTGGTTGTGGGTATTGTTGTGAGTGTTATGGATAATAAGGTAGTATACCGCCATAGTGATAAATGAGAGACAAAAAAGTCGGTTGATCAAAAGAATGATTTGAGGTGTTTCATGCGGATGTTTTTTGGTTGTTTGGATTGTTGGGAAAAAAACATATTGACCGTTCAAAGCATTGGAAAAAAAAAGAAAAAGAATAAAGAATAGAGAAATAGAGGATTCAGCTAGTTTTAACCTCATGGAGCCAAACCATAGGGTGGGGCGGTGTTCCCCTGATCGAATGTTGCAAACCGAGGGCCAAACCGTGATCACGCCCTCAAGCCTTAGAGTCTAATATAAGATCTACCACTATGGGTGAACTCAATCCAAAACTTTCAAGGTCTAATATAAGATCCAAACCATATCGTTAGTCTCACTGATCTCATATAGTTTATGTTAAATTTGAATTTTGTACAAGAAATGAAAAACTTCAATAATCATGTGCTTTTAAAAAAAGCAAACAAACAAAATTACATGATTATCAAAAAATATTGTAGATTGAAAAGTCGGAAAAAAAAAATACTTTCGAACTAGGCTTAATCCAATCCAAAGAATATTGATTCGGGCTTCATCGTATTCAATGCAAGATTGATTGATCCGTATATTGAAAAAAGTTGTCCATTTTATAGAGACCATCCAAAAAAGTAATAACAATAATAAAAAAATTGCGGTGCGTGTGTTAGCTATTTTATAAAAAATAATAAGATAAAAAATAATAATAACAATGATAAAGAAACCTGGAAAAGTTTTATTACGGTTATTATCTGATTTCAATTTTCCAATATCACATTATCAACTTTCACAGAGACATTTGATAAATTATTAAAAGATTCAAATCCAAGAAAGTCTTTGACTATGAAACAAGTATACCCATCATCCATGGATCCGAAACCTACATTCCATTAAAAGTATCGTGGATTGTGGTGTTGTATGACACTTTTAGCCTAGCATGTATGTTACTGCTACTACTACGAGCCTGTCACGTAGCTTTGAGTAGAAAGCAAGCAAAATAAAAGGTCCCACTTTACATTTTACATTACATGGCAAATGCAAATGCCAAATGGTTCTTTAATCCATTCTTAAGCCAAGAATCTCTTACATACCCATTTCCACCACCATCTCCCAAGTATCCAAACCTCCATCTCCCCCCGTTTCTCACTCATATATATACACACAAATTAATACACGTATACATAATTACATAACTCATAAGCGTATGTATGTATACACAACACTCATAAACATGAACACGAACAACATGTTACTAGTATTTCTCTATGCTATAATGTTGGTTGATTATGCATATGTGTTTGCAGATACGGATATAGATGGATATCATATTGTTAATCACGATGATCTACCATTGCCACCTGTTGATCCACTTACTCCGGTTTTACCCGAGGCATATTGCTCAAGCCCCCCTGGTTTTTCACCACCTTCCTCCACCACTCTGCCGCCAACTATTGGATCTTACAACCCATCACCGCCTGCCACATCATCTTCCTCCTACCCTACACCACCTTTCACTTTCCCCACACCACCCACCACCACCAGCACCCCAGGCTCACCTGCCACCTATCAACCCACACCTAGCGGATCTAATAACCCACCCGCCACCTACGAACCCACCCCTAGCGGATCTTCCAACCCACCCGCCACCTACGAACCCACCCCTAGTGGATCTTCCAACCCACCCGCCACCTACGAACCCACCCCTAGTGGATCTTACAACAATCCACCTTCCGGTTCATACGAACCGAGCCCACCAACTTTCACGTTTCCGTCTCCTACAGGGTTCATACCCGCACCGCCACTTTTCGAACCACCAATTGTGTACCCACCTCCGACACGATCACCGCCAGCTCATAGTTCGCCGGAATCCGCCCTGTGGTGTGTGGCTAAACCGTCTGTACCAGATCCAATCATCCAAGAAGCTATGAATTACGCGTGTGGTTCAGGGGCGGATTGTGAGTCATTGCAACCAAATGGTGAATGTTTTCAACCGGATACATTGTTTGCACATGCTTCTTATGCGTTTAATAGCTACTGGCAAAGAACAAAAGTCGCCGGAGGCACCTGTGAATTTGGCGGCTCAGCCATGCTCGTCACCGCTGATCCAAGTAAGAAACTGTTTCTTTTTTACTTAACAAGCTTAATGAGTTAAACACTTAATCTGGACAGTTATATAGGGTTGTTTCCTTTTTTTTACTTAATCTGGATTTAATCACTTAGTGGGTTTATTGAAGAAAAAAATAGACTTAATGTATAAAGACACTAACTCTTTACTTGTTGATTTGTGGTAACAGGTTATGACGGCTGCCATTTCATCTACTTCTAATGGGTTTTCTTTTACATGATTAGAGACAGCTTTTTGTAAGTATAACTAATCAAAATAGAGATAGAATATGTTCGTATCTCAAGAATTTCTATGTTTGAAATAAATGCAATGGAAGTTGTGAGGATTATTCAAGAAATGGGCAACAGTAGCATTCAGTGTATACTCTCAGATAACATCAATACAAGTTTCATTTTGTGCTCAATGATACAAATAATTATCTATCTTCAAGTCTTATCTCAAAAAACAAAAAATTAAACAAAAAAACAATAGATTACATACATACATACAACATCAGAATCCCACATCAATGACCACCTGGGTTTCTGTTCCATGACAAATAATTCGGATCTCCAAGATGCCTGAAATAGAAATAAAAATTAGTGTCATAATTGTATAAAGTATGCTATTTTATGATTTTGTGAACACCCCAAAAATATAATTAATAAATTAATATTACCTTGGTTTAACTAAATATATGAGAGTGAAAGTTGTAGCTAGTATGAAGCACAATCCACCAACAGCAAGATACGCGATGCCAATAAAGTTATTCTTTCCTCCAAGCCAACTTGTGGTTGAAAGCACAAGTTTCTTCTTGCCACTAAAGCTATAAGTGTTGTAGTTGTTCTCTAATACAACAGTTATAGTTTCTCCTGCTTCAATATCCACTTCTATTTTTCCATACAATTTTCTAAAAGTTGGGAGAGCTGCAGTTCTCATCCACACAATAAGGTCTTCCTGCTCACTTAACTATATAAAAAAAAAAAAAAGATTCCCATCAGGTATTTTTACATTTGTAATTAGTAAACTGTATAGAGCTTGTGAGACTTTGGGTAAATAGGTAATAAAGAGTAAAATGGTAATTTAGTCTCATTCAGACAGTTTATTCAGTCTAGAAAAGAGGATCAAGCACTGAATGATACTAAATGATCATTTTACCTTAAGCTAGGTTTTTTGCTTAATCAGCTGAGTCATTAGAAACAGCCATTTATAGCTGTCAAAATTAAGTGCTTAACCCATTAAGTCAAAAACAAAAGTAAAAAACAGGATCTTACTGGTATGGACTCGTTGAGATGTGCACCACCAATAAGACTTCCATTTTGGAAGTTTTTTGGGAAAACATCACTGCCAAATTTGTCCTCTCTGTCACTTTTCCATGAAATATGTCTCTTGTTTACGGGTAATGATTGGTTGTTTCTGGTGGAGAATGCATAGGTGTCATTGAATAAACTCCATGCTACAAGTCCACATGGCACAATTGGCATCCCATTTGCATTATGTTCAGGCTTACATGAACTTGTGTCATTTTCATCACCACGGTTTCTTAATTGCTGATCACTTCGGCTCTTCACATACCTCCGATGATTCTGGTAGTAATTGTCCAGTTGGTAGTACACGTATATAGGCTGCTTCATACGCTTTGTGACCTAAAATTCCATTCATTTGAGAAATATCACTAAAAGAAAGACTTATAGATGTGAATTTGAATTGTATATGTATGCAATCATGCAGAAATGCATCAATGATCAAGAAAGTAGTTGATTTGAACTTACTGTCAAGGTTCTTGTGCAGGTCTTACTTGCATTGGATTGTATATATTCCACCTTTTGACTTTTTGACCCTTGTACGCAGGCATTATCGTATCGGTCAATGATTTCAACTACCTATTTGAATGAACAAAAATCCAAAATTAATAAACAATAAACAATACAAGAAAGAAAAAAAGAAAGAAAGGAAATGTTCATGAATTTAGAGGGATTGAAATTTGAATCATACATCACGAGAAGCAAAGAGGGAAGCAAGTCCTATTGGTATGAAGACAATGGTTACAAGCATGAAAGCTGAAATCACCTGTAGTACGAAACATAAAGAGAATTAAAGCTTGTTGATTTTTGATATATTGAAGGAGAAAAAGCATAAAGGTAGGGTAAACGAAGATGCTCACCCATTTTGGAGTCAGAATTGGCTTACATGCCGGAAGCTCCTGTTGTGTAAACCTAGAATCTGAAAGGGATGCATAAGAAAGGAAATTAGTATTTGCATCAAATTAGGCACAGAAACAGAAATCTTAAACCAAATAGACACACGCACACAGAGCATAAACCGAATAGCAAACCCTAAATGGTTCAATATTCTACATTGTTTGAAAGATCTAAACGTGATTCATAAGCAGCATGCTGCTTTTACCCATCCTAAATTAATTCCCTTTTCCCCCTTTTATTACTTAGCTGGATGAAGATGCTAGGGTTTCTTAATTCTTAACTCTTAAGAGCTCAACCAACATCAACAACAAGATTTACGCGCTGAATCAATTCAAATACCTAAAGGTAGCATTAAAAACTGTTCATCCCGATTAAAAGAAACATAATATAGTACACCAAAAGTAACGAATAAATCAGATAGCTAAAAGGTAACGGACTGCATCTGAAATTTGGAGTATCCAGCAAAAGAAAAGTAAACCTAACAAGGATAAAAGATGAATATACATTTAGGTCGTTTCGAATTTCTCCTTGGAGCAGTTGAATCGGGGGATCCAGCGCCACCGGAGCTTGACGACGGAGCATTTGCGTTCATCGGCGTAGCTGGATTACTATTCATGGCTAACAACTATAAATAATACAGAAGATTATAGATCAGAGTAGAGATTGATAATTGGATCCAAATGAAAGAATTTTGATCGATTGATTTGGAGTTGCAGTCTTGCAGACAGATGAGAGGAGGAAGGATTTGAAGGGGAAATGGGTTGTTAATCTCTGACCAGTCTTTACTCTGCTTTGACTTTGAAAATTCTTTGAACGAAGATAGGAATTAGTCATTTACCAAATTGACCCTTCAACTATTCAGCAAATATAGTTGAGTCTTTGAGATATGGGTTTAGCATGATTAGTCCCTGTTTAAAAAGTATGTTGATATACTAGTCTTTTTCACTCTCTCTCTCTCTCCTCTTATCTCAAAGGTTAAAACGCTAAATGGGAAGCACAGCGACCATTACGAGTGGATGAGAACATCTATAATGATTGTAGTTGTATTTGTCTTTCAAGCAAGTCAACTTATCTATCAACATTGTAAATATAAAGCATAATTTTTACAAGATATAAACATTTTTATATGTGCAATCAAATGTAACAGTTTAACTTATTCATGATAATACAATTCAACCCATATTATATATAGGGGTAAGTTGTTATTTGTTAAAATTGCAACATATGTTCACTATTTTATCAATCTGTGCAACATAATTTATATACCTGATAATAACTTATCATTTTATCCAAAGTTTAAACATTAAAATGTAACAACAATTACAATTTTATGAATCACTTCTAGTGCCATCTAATGTGATATTTACAAACAATGCAAAAAATGAATCAAATTACTAAGAAAAATTATGTTGATTGATTGATAAGAATGGTATGTGTGTGAAAGTATATTTAACCTTATATGTTATTTATAAACATAAAAATTAAGTATAAATGAAAATGATCAAATATGACAAATGTCATTTCGACCTAGATTATATTCAAATGCATTCAAACTTTTAAATTGATCTCTTACAAACAAATTATTGTTTTAATATGAATTGTAAATACTTATATTTGTATTGTTTACTTTTAACGTTATAAGTGGAGAAAATTGCAATAATGAGTTAATTTACCTCAATCAAATGTGTTTTTAGCGAACTTAAAATATTTTATATTTAAGTGGAGAAAATAGCAATAATGGGTTAATTTACCTCACTCAAATGTGTTTTTACCGAACTTATATTTTATATTTTAGTGATTGATGTGAAATAGGTTTTACTTGTTTCTATACTTGAGGATTTTGTCACGTCTAGATACAATGGTGCGTTCAAGTGTTAAACCAAACACAACATAATGTTAGCTTTGATTTACTCTTCTTCGCATGAGTCAAATCCATCAAGTCCCAAGACAACTATTCTTATTTCAGTTAATCAAACTATGTATCAAAGTTTCATGGAATGAATGAGATGAAATAATTAAGTCTACCTAATATCTTTAAAACAATGCATTACTTTAATGCAACACTTTGAATGTTTTTAAAGATTTAAAATCTGTATGCATTTACGTTAATCCAGTTGTTATGTGCGTCTATTATTTGAAAACCATATAAAACAAACAAATAAAAATTATCATGGTATTGCTTTAGACCTATGCAATTACAAAGGCATAAAGATGAATAAGAATAAAGACGTTTTGTGTACGATATCTCATAGTTGAAGGGTCAAATTACAAGTTTCATAGTTGGTGTATTTTTTGCCAACCAATAGCTAGGTTGCCATGTGGCCTCCACGTTTATATACTTCTAGAATGAAAAACACTTTGGAAAAGTTAATGTATTTTAATAAATATTTACTTTTTAACAGAGACCCCTTTTTTAAAAGTTACATGATAGGATCTGTTTTATTATTATCTTGTTTTTTCTATTCCTTAAAAAAAAATAGTAATTTACAGTTTTCGTCCATATAGTATACATGTACAACTTTGTTGATTTTATATATTATTTTATGATGTTTAATTTAAACCTTCGTGTGACCTACTAGGATCCCATATCAACGTATTATTTTGACGGGTGATTCATATAAGAAATCTTAATACGAGTATGAGAAGTGATGCCTTAATGAGAAGAACGAGGAAGATGAATGTTCCGTATAAATAAGGGAATTTGATTTATTAAGGTAATTAAGTATTTCAAATGTTCACATATTGGTAATATTGTTTTTTTTTTACTCATTTACCCAACTAATTTATTTCAGTCGTTCACAAATAACCAACTTTACCGACCATTGTAGGTTTTGGGTGATGTGACATCTACGTGGCTTGTACGCTGCAATACTCATCACCTACGTGGCATTGAGAAGTGTTTACATTATAAGAAGGGTAAGATACGACTACTTATTAATTAAAACCCTAGATCGATCGATGGCATCTTCTTCCTCATCCTTTTTCTTCCAAACGACAAGACGAATTGCAACCGGATCATCCATGTGATTGCGCCTTGCCATCTCGTGTGAAGACATCAAGAACCCCAGACAATCCTGGAAGGAAATCCAGAGTTTGTCAAAACTCACTGGTAATTCATATTTTTACTTCTTCTTCATCCTTCAATTTAATATGTTTTTATAAATTTCTTGAATAATGAAAAAAGTTCAAGCTGTAAATTTTGGCAATGGTTGGATGATGATGAAGGGAGGAAGGATGGAAGAGGGCATTACAAGATGAAAGCAAAAGAAAGCTGTAATCTTACCTTGAAAATTTGGACCTTGGAGAATGAAATCAGCATATGAAGGATGGAGATTGAAGAAGAGAAGAACATGAATAAACAAGAACTTGACAAAGTCAATTGGAAATTGTTTGCCCATAGATTTGCATTAATTTTCTTGTTTCTCTTGTATGTCAAAATGTTGTTTTAAATTATGTACTATGATGTAGTATGACTAAATTATGTATGCTTTTGTGATGTTTTCAATGAAAAAAGTTATATTCTATCATTGGAATGGAATTGTTATTAAACATAGTAGTATAAAAGATAATAAAAAACATTGTAATGGAATTGAATCATTGTAATTGAATCATTGGAATTGAATCATTGGAATGGTAGTGTACAAAACTAGTAATGTTATTGTGAATCATTGGAATGGAATTGTTCAAACAATGTAATAGAATTGTGATTACATTGTAATGGAATTGTGATTACAATTGATATTCTAAAAGATGGTAATAAATTATACACAATACAAATGGTATTAGAAAGATATGCAAAAGATGGTAATACACTATAAACATTCCAGGGAACATTGACTTCAAAAGATGTGTCAAAAGTTTTACATAACATAGTTAAACATTCATTACACCCAAAAGATGTGCAAAAAGTTAAACATTACACACTTAAACATGTATTTAAGCTATTCCAACTAGTTTTCAAAAGATGTGCCAAAAGATTCCAAAGTTAAAATATGTCAGTCAAAGATGCCAAAAACATTAACAACAGTACAATAAGCTAGAAGTTAATCCAACTCATACGGATGGTCATCACTGCTTCCCTATTTTCCCTCCCACATCTTTCTTATCTTCAGTTTTGTAATCCTTTCTGAAGGTTTCCTTGCCCTCTTTCCCACTACAACTTGAAAAGCTAGTATTTCCACTTGATCTTGGACTACAATGTGGTTAGCATATTCAACTTGAACTTGCACTTCAGGTTCAATTTCAGTTTGAACTGCAGGGTGAATTTCAACTTGGTTAGCATCATGAACTTCAAGATGAATTTCAGGTTCAACTTCAACTTGCACTTCATCTTGAACTTCATGTTGCACTCCATCTTGGACTTCAGGTTCTACTCCATCTTCAACTTCAAGTTGCACATCATCTTCAAATTCAAGATCAAAATAGTCAACATCACTTTCAGGTTCTATTTCAACTTCACTGTCACTATCAATATCAACTTCATGTGCCAATGCAACCTTCACTTTACATGTTTTGCATTACTTGAAAAGTTAAGTTATGCCAAATATGTTAAGTTATACAAGTTATATATAAATAAATATATCAAACATACCAGCTTTCTTGGATTTCTTTTTCTTTGAACTTGCATTTGATGATTCCCCAATTGGTTTCTGAGGACAGGTTATTCTATTATGTCCACTTTCACTACATATGTTGCATTTCATCACATTACCTCTTTTTGTGATTGAATGGCTTTTTCATTGGTTTTCCCTCTCATTCTAATCCCTTTCCTTTTTGTTGATGGTCTTCCTGGTAGCCTTCTCCTTTTGGGGGGCAATGGGCTGATGTAGTCTACATGAGGCCACATGTCACTACTATTTAGTGGGTTAATGGTATACCAGTAACAGTTTAGGTACGTTAATGTGGTAAACCATGGTGACAGATACTCCTCTACATCCCTATTGAGGCTTGCAATGCAAGCATACCCATGCACACAAGGGTAACCTGTTAACTGCCAAGTTCTGCAGACACATGTCCTGCTACCAATATCCACAACATATGCATCATACCCAAGTTTGACTTCATACTATTGATAACCAGATGGTATTACTTTCCAAAACTTGTCCATATACACATGTTAAAAGGCATAAGGACAAACATTTTTAAGCACTTACCTTTGAAGATCCTTAAGCTTGGACAACTTCAGCCTAATGGTAGGACATATGGTTAAATCCCAAGATTTCCCCTTAATCTTCTGTCTATAAAGCCTCTCCATCATATAAATTCGAATTTCTTTTAACATGGTGATTAGTGGTCTCTTCCTGGCAACTCCAATCACAGAGTTGAAACTCTCAGATATACCATTTTCATATGCATCACAAGCCCTATCAGTCTGAAAAAATGTTTTACTGCAAGTTTTAGGGTCCTTTTCCATCAAATGGTCATAAGCTATGGTCATAAGCTAGTGGCTCTAATTTCTTGATTTCATTCATGTGTTGTTCAAATTTTTCAGGGGTAGTAGCTGCAACAGCATACCAGAAAAGCTTTCTAAACAGTTGGCCCTTAAACCTTTTCATGAAGTTAGCACATATGTGCCTAGCACATTGTCTATGCTCTGTTGTTGGGACCCTTTCCTTCACAGCCTCAAGTAATCCCTGTTAGCAATAGACACAAAACTTAAACAACAAAAACATAACATAAGCTAAAATAAATATGGAAATAATAGAAATTGATTACTTTGTATTGGTCTGATATTAAGGTTAGTCCATGCCCAACTCCCATTCCAAGGTCCTCAATTAGAAGGTCAATAAACCACTTTCATGTTTATTTACTTTCCATTGATACAACAGCCTAAGCAATGGGATATATATATATATATATATATATATATATATATATATATATATATATATATATATATATATATATGGTTATTTGCATCTCTACCTATAGTAGAGAGCAACTGACCTCTGCATATGCCCTTTAGGAAGCAACCATCTAGTCCAATTACCCTCCTACAACCTTCAATCCATCTATCCTTCAATCCCTTGAAACATACATAAAACTTCGAGAAATATGTGGTTCCATCAGGCATGACATCTACATCCATCTTCACTATTGATCCAGGGTTAGTCCTTCTTATCTCTTTTGCATGGCTCCATGTTTTTTGCATAATGCTCTTTTAAAGTACCCTCTATCTCCTGAAATGCATACTTCCTTGCATTTCTACATTGACCAACACTTGCAATCAAATTAAATTTCTTGTTGACTTTAGCTTTCAACTTCCGTATACACATCTTTGGTTTCTGAAGTATATGATTCATGAAATTCTTTGCTATCCATTTATAGGTAACAATGGACCCAAATTTGAACACTCTGAATTACATCAGGTGTACGACTCAGCGATGATACCTTTGGAGGACATTCAGGTTGATGACAACCTGAATTACATCGAGTGACCTGTGGCTATCCTCGACAGGAAGTCGAATGATCTGAGGAACAAAAGAGTGGAGCTGGTGAAGGTGCAATGGCAGCACCAGAAGGGCTCGGAATGGACTTGGGAGCCGGTGGATGAAATGATGGTGCATTACCCGGAATAGTTCCGGGAACAAGCAGCAGACTTCGAGGACGAAGTCTAAGATAAGTAGGGGAGATTTGTAACACCGGATTCCTGGTACGATTCCTGTTTATGTATTTTTCTCATTTTGCCTTGGACTCAGCGAGTTGGAGGCCCGACTCGCCGAGTAGGAGCGATTTTGGCACTGGATTTAAGTGAGGGACTCGGCGAGTCGGGTCTTAGACTCGACGAGTCCATGTTGGACGAGTAAAACCCTAACCAGGGTGTTTGCACCCTATTTAAACACTCTAACTCGGCCTCCCTTGTCCCTAACATTTCCAGAGAGCTGTAGAGCGAAACCCTAGCCCCCATATTTTTCTTGTGAGTGACTTTTGGCTTGGTGAAGGAAGTTTGGATCTTAGAAGAAAAAGGAGGAGGTTGAAGAGTGAAAGGAGGGGAAGTAGATCCGAAATCTACACTGTGAGAAGCTTCCATTCAGGTAGAAAAGTTCCTACCTTATTCACTAGTTCATTAGATCCCCTTTTTGTCCCTAATTGATGGTTTTCAAGCCCTAAAACCTCAAACCCCATGTAGTTATGCTCTATGTTCTGAAAGGACTTCAGATCTGGACCTTATGGACACCTTAGAAGTGTAAAGTCTCTGTGGTTGAAGTGATTGAGGTCCCTACTGAGTGTATGACCTCATAAAGAGCTTGGAATTGCCTTTTGGAGCTCATAGGGCCATGCATGCACGTAAAGTTTGTAACTTTACGTGATGAGCATACTCTAGGAGCTTAGATCTATGGTTTGGAACTGTTGCACGTCTCAAATTTGGTATGTATGGGAGGAGGGTTGGAGGGACTCGACAAGTTCCAAATTGGACTCGGCGAGTTCTATGAAGATGGTCTTAGACTCGATGAGTTGGATGAACAACTCGGCGAATCCTTTGAAGATTGCCTGGAACTCGACGAGTTGTTCTTCAAACTCGGTGAGTCATATGAACTGTTACTGAGTTAAGAGGGGTTTAAGTGTAGAAGGTCCAACCCTTCGTAGCTGTACGCGGGATGAGCAATTTAACGTGTAGAATTAGTCCCAGAAACCCAAATCCTCAAGATGGATGCTCTGGTGAGGATTTGGAAGCGAGTAGGAGAGGGACTCGGCGAGTCTGTGCCATGACTCAGCGAGTCCAATCAATTGGAAGTTGACTTTGACCAAGGAGTTGACCTTGGAACAGGGGTAGGTCAGTTATTTGACCTAAGGGTGTTTGGGAGTAACTAATCTATGCTTATGGATTTATAGCCGGAGGATTGCCGGTGCAACAATCAGTCGTCTAGCAAGCAGACTTTCAGCAACTACTTTTCGAGGTGAGTTACCTTCCAGTAGCGATGGGTCTACGACCATAATGCCAACCCACCAGTAGGAGTTGTATGGTAGATGATTGTCTTTGTGATATCATCTAGGTTTGCTACTACCTGATATGTTAAATACTGGCATGATATGTTATATGTGATAGCAGTAGATTTCGGTTGTTAGGACCGAAGGGTAGGTCAGGCACCCGAGATATGTCTGACAGTATGTGATGGTATGTTTGTATGCTGACATGATATGTTATATGTGATAGGGGTAATAGGAGGGGAATAGTCCCTAAGTGCGGTTGTTAGGACCGACGGGTAGGTCAGCACCCCATAATAGCTTGACATGGGTAGGTCAATACCCCAGAATGGTTTGACACGGGTAGGACGGCACCCCAGATTGGCCGCACAGGTAGGTCGGGCACCCCAGAATGGCCGTACCGGGTAGGTCGGGCACCCCATAATTTCCCGATAGTATGTATGGTATATGATTGTATGGTATATGGTATGATGGGGGAACTCATTAAGCTTTGTGCTTACAGTTTACAGATTTGGTTTCAGGTACCTCTTCAGCGAAGGGGAAGGAGCTGGCATGGTAGCGACACATCATACACACACTCCCGTTTTCCGCATCATGAGATATTATGGGATTTGTACTATGACATTATTATGATTTATGTTTTGGGTTACAGACACGAAATATGTTTTAAGAAATGATATGGTCGAATATTGTTTATTTACAAATGTTTTACAAAGTGTTTAATTGAAAAATGAAATTTTTGGACTTGAAAAATTGGGTCGTTACAATCATATTATTCAAATTCTCCACAGTCGGTAATATGTTGGAAGTAGATATGAATCAATACTATAATGAGTTGGCTTGTAGATGTCTAAGGTATTGGACATAGCAAGAGTTGCTACAACACTCATGAGTGCTCATACGTTATGAGTATTGGATTCAATCCACGCTCACTTGTATCACTTCATGAAATTTATCTCGAGTGATCGTGAGACGATATTATCATATAAGTCTTCAAACCTAGAGATATGAGTTGTTGACTATGAGTTGGTTATACATTGATTGCACGAAAACGTATTGGTAATTCGATGTTATAAAACATGCCTTTGCATATAGTTCAACAAGTAGTAGAACAAGAATATGAGTCGAAGTTTGTCTGTTCCTTCTTGGATTAGAAGCGATATCTGAGCCCCTCGATGATTTTGTTTTGACTTATGTACCGGGCCCGGTCAGAACTAAATCGATGTGTTCGATTAAGTTCTATGTCGAGCAAATGGGAAATCGGGAAACAAACTGTTGGACAATAAGTAAGATATTGTTCCATGTATTTGTCCGACTAATATCTAGAACAAATGATTATATGATCACTTATCTTAAATGGCATATCATCATCATCTCAGTTCCGCGAGACCTTGAAAGAGCTACGATTGTTGATCGGTTCCTGAAGTTATTCTTGAAATTATAGTTACTAGACTTATCCAAGTGGGAGACTGTTGGATTAGGTGTCTAAGTTCATAACTATTTGTAGGATGTACTTGACCCGGTTGGCATGGTCCATTTGGGTTGCATGGAATTGCAACACTTGGATAGACTAAATGGGAGAAAGGACACCTAAGGTTTATTAATATATTATAAGTTCTAATATATTAATAATATTATTTAATTAGTATTGATCAAGAATTAATATGGAACTAATTAGGTGATCAAAATGAGACTAATTAAATATATGAGGTTGATTTTGTAAATCATCAATTCTTGTATAGTGGGCTAATGATCCATGGTTTATTGAATTGGGCTAAAACCCATAAGGTGCTCCATTGATAGTCCATGGAGGTTATAAACCCATAGATCATGGAATATGAAAAGCCATGCACATTAGGGTTTACATGGAGTAACCCTACTTGTGGCACACTATATAAGAAGCTCCATGGTTAGCAAAATCGGTCACTAAGTGAATATCAAGAGGGATAGTCGATTTTGAGTGTTACTGAACTTCTCTCAAAGTTATTACAAGAGTTGTGGTGTTGTGTGAAACATTTGAGGCATCACACTCGAGGTGCTAGGATCATAAGGTTCTCAAGGAATCCAAGCAATAAGAAAGGTATGTTTTCTTATTAGCTTTTATGTTTCAAAGTTCCCCATGCCATGCTAGTTAGGTTAAGAACCTTGGAAAATCAAATTTGCATGTATCTTAGTAAAACATAGATCCAAGGTTTCTAGGGTTGCATGTACACCTTAGGTGTGTTAGAATGCTCAAATCCCTTCAATCATAACATAATCTTGTATGGGTAATTTGGGAGTACTTACTTGAGCTCGGCAGATTGCATGCACCACACCCTTTTTCTTATTCTTTTTTTTTTTTAAGTTCTTTTCTCTTTTTACAAAACTCTTTTTCTTTTCTCAAATTCTTTTTGTTCAAATGGTTTTTCTTTTGAAAATTTATATACCAATTTCTTAGTTTGAGTTCAGACACACCTGGAAGTGTACCCGAATCCCTCAAACCAAGGCTCTGATACCAACTTGAAACATCCCAAAAATACAAACCAAAAATTTCCTTTTAAATCATTAATAAAACCATAAATCATCCATCATCATAATAAAAATCAAGAACCATGTATCTCAAAAACATCATGTCAAAAACTGTATAAAAATCATATAAGTAATCATCAGAGTCTAAAACAATCCTAGGCTGAAACTGTGGTGTGTGCCATGCGATCATCCCGAGTCCTTCCCTTTGCTAGTGGAAGTACCTGAAACCATAACTAAAAACTATAAGCACAAAGCTTAGTGAGTCTCCCCAAGCCACCACATACTATGCACATAAATCATAAATTAGGCCTAGCCCACTGCATCGG